CTCTCTCACACACACACACACCTCTCTCTCTCTCTCTCTCACACACACACATATATATATAATATACATATATATATATATATATACATATACATATATATATATATATATATACGTATACATATATATATATATATATACATATATATATATATACACACACAGACACAGACACAGACACAGACACAGACACAGACACAGACACACACAAATACACAAACACACACACATACACACACACAAACACACACACACAAACACACACACACACACACACACATATATATATATATATATATACATACATATATATATCTATATGTATATTTGCATAGACGCACACACACACTCACACACATAGACACGCACACGCACACACATCGCACACACACACACATCGCGCGCACACACAGCGATACACATGCACACACACAAACACACATACACACATACACACACACACACATATATATATACATATATATATATATATATATATATATACATACATACATACATACATACATACATAGATACATAGATAGATAGATACATACATATATATATTTATATATATATATATATATATATATAGATATAGCTATATTATATTACTTCTATATTCATGTTCAGTTTATTTGTATTGATATTATGAGGGTATATTGGCAGACATTCAAATGTTGAGGATATTTTGGTACGTCACTTCAACTATTACTCTCTTTTAACATCCACTAATCGATCGCATGCTCACACATGAGTTCTTACAATGTAAACACATGCGGATAAATTGGAATAATTATTGATCATGAATAATCCTCTGCAACTATAGAACTTGTAAGTGTGTGAATTTTCGCTTCTTCGATTTAATAGGCATGGATGTCAGTCGATATGATCACGTTTGTGAGCGCGACCAGAACGATTTGGGTGGCATGCAACACCCACGAATTGCCCATTGCATGTGTATAACCCTAAAAGACTATCACATTCTTTCACACATGTCGAATCACACCCACGTATCATTCACAAAGGTGCGAAGGCGAAAGGCAAAGCACAGCGACGAAGAGAGCAGCAAGAAGAGACGGCGCGGCTAAACAAGATGGTGGCCAATACCAGCGCTGTCAACAACCCAGCACCAGACCACGGAAAGAAGGAGGATGAGGCATTCCGGCTCAAACTCAAGCCCCTAGGCATACAGATCCAGCCCATACCTGCCGACGGGGACTGGTACGTATAAGTTCGGTACATCAACGGGTGCACAGGGCATGTGTGCGTGCTGTCGGTGTCGGTGTGCGTGAGCATGTGCATGGAATACCTCAAGCACGTCATCCAAGGCTCTGTCTATCTGCGGTTATCACAGACCTATCGCAGGCGGGAGGGCAGGCGAGTTCAATAGGGTTTGCATACATGGGTGTACCCAGTCGTATGTTTGTTGTTCATTGGCGCTAGGTATTGCACTGCGCATGCGGGGTGTGTCATTCTCTCACTTTGAATGCACGTACCCGCGCGATGCGAGACGCTTGTCTTACTACGTGTACGTGTAGTGTGTTGCTGTCTGATACCATGGCGCAGCACCCCATTGAGTCCGTTCACGCCGTATTTGTACACATGAACTAACCTTTTACAGCCTGTACATGAACTCGTTATGCACAGCCTATACATGAACTCGTTATGCACAGCTTGGGGTTTTATGTGTGTTGGGCGTTTGTGGAGTTGCGTAGTTGGCTGATTCATCGATAAACAAGGGTCGTCACGTCAAGAAGATGATTGGTCACTCTTTCGATGAGCCTTTTAGGGGCATGACGGGACCAAACAAACGCATTGTACACAAACGCATTGTACTGCTTGTTGTTAATCGTTTGATGAGCCTTTTATAGAATGTTGGGAACAACAAACGTATTGCACTGCATATTGCTCACCGTTAAATACATATTCAACCACAACCATTCCCGTCCCACATCAGTTTATACGCCGCCATAGCGGATCAATTAGAACGCCATTCGCGCACCGTGAATGGGGAGGTATGTATGAAGGGCGTGTGTTTTCTCTCTCGCGCAGATCCGAGTGCACAAAGTACGCGTGTTGGCTCTTGGTGATATCAGAAACCCCAAACCTAGGCTCCCGTTTAGTGTGGCATAGAGTGGTTCGGTCTCGAATGACTATCGCATCTGTCCTTCTGTGACACTCGCACCTAATATCACAGTATACTGCCACACCGCGTTCAATCCAACTCACTGTGACTGTCTGTGAGTGCATGTGACAGTCCTGTCTGTGGTGGCTACTGTGTCACAGGCACTTGAAGTGATGGTGATGCTGTAGCGACCTTAGCAGACTTCTCTAACAAACCCCACTGATGCTTCGTACGACTACTGTAGTATGACGTACGTATACGGAACTCTTGCGTGTGCGTTTATATCGGTGGTGAACGAGTGCATGCATAACTACGTATTGAGTTCGTTTCTACATGTAGTTCACACGCACACAACTACCTTTCCAAACAGTTCAATCGTGCCACCTTCTACACGTACAATAACTAGTGAAGTCACCACTTTTGACCATTTGTGGATAGCCCGAGGGGTTGTTGTAGAGATGATGAGTAGTCTATTGAAGTATGCTCGCTTTATGTAGAGTTCACTAGTGACGATAACTAGTGAAGTCACCACTTTTAACCATTTGCAAATAGCCCGAGGGGTTCTTGTAGAGATGAGGAATAGACTATTGAAGTATGCTCGCTTTATATAGTATTCACTAGTGATCACCTGGCCATGCGTATCAAGCGTTCTCTGACCACGACAGGGTCCCCATCTACGTGAAGGCAACTTAACAATTGGTTTATGCTAAACGTGAATTATAAACACCTAGTTAACAAAGCTCATATTCCTGAGAAGCAGAACTAAAACAATAAAAAGAACCATATTGTAAACCATGAACCCTTTTTAAACCCAATTCCAATGGACAGGTGCCGACAGCGGCACTGATACGCGCCTTGGCCGCAAATCACATGAGAAACTCGAGGGACGACTTCCTTCCGTTCTGCTTGAACGAGGATGGCGACATGGTGGATTCAAGTATGTCGGTGCGATAACCACACGAGCACAATATGGACTTTATAGATAGTAGATGGGATCACATGGGTAGATGTTTATGGACGTTTGAGTGAGTGTATTCAAGTATGTCGGTGCGATAAGCACACGAGCTCGATATGGACTTTATAGATAGTAGATGGGATCACATGGGTAGATGTTTATGGACGTTGGAGTGAGTGTATTCAAGTATGTCGGTGCGATAACCACACGAGCTCGATATAGACTTTATAGATAGTAGATGGGATCACATGGGTAGATGGTTATGGACGTTTGAGTGGTTTATTGGAGTATGTCGGTGCGATAACCACACGAGCTCGATATAGACTTTATAGATAGTAGATGAGATCACATGGGTAGATGTTTATGGGCGTTTGAGTGAGTGTATTGGAGTATGTCGGTGCGATAACCACACGAGTTCGATATGGACTTCATAGATAGTAGTTGGGATCACATCGGTAGACGTTTATGGACTTTTGAGTGGTGGATTCAAGTATGTCGTTGCGATAACCACACGAGTTCGATATGGACTTTATAAATAGTAGTTGGGATCACATCGTAGACGATTATGGACGGTTGAGTGCGTGCATTCCTAGTCTCCTGATTGTGTTTTGATCAAATACGCATATATTGATTGGCTATTGTGAAGATCATCTCAAATGTAGAAGCATCTTTAACGGACTTACACAGTCGCGGACCGCCTATCATCAACTGTAAACGCTCCACAGCGCAATCCGCTGGTCATACCATCCTCCTGTGCGAATCCATGTATACGTATACGTTTTGTTCCGTGTTGCGTATGGCTGTGCTGCTGTCTCCATGTCGATCATCCTTCCTGAATCGTACACATGGACAGACATTCGAAGCCACAACGATCTGCAGTGCATTCCCTAGCGATTCGATGGCTGTAGCGTCAATCTCTCTAAAACGTTAGGGTCCTAACCCCCCCCCCCCCCTCTACACACAGACCCTATCTTCTATGGTCACATTTCCTCGTTCTTGCATAGTCTAGTCCTAATACATGTCCCTCCTCTCGCACACTACACCCCCCTATCTTCTATGGTCACATTCACTCGTTCTCGCATAGTCTAGTCTTAGTATACGTAGTTCTATGTATTATAGCCAACACTAATGCCTTGTCGCCCGTTTCACACTCTCCTCGCTGCCCTGCCTGGCTGCGCAGGCGGGTTCGATAGGTACTGCCAAAGCGTTGAGCATAGCAAGCAATGGGGTGGTCAGCTCGAATTAAGGGCCTTGGCGGAAGCCCTACAAACGACTGTGATAGTGTATCAGGCCCGGTCCAATGAGATGCCCATTGAGATACCGAACTCCCAGGAGGAGCCACTTTTAGTATCGTAAGTGTGAGGTGTTACCCCATCCATCCATTGGTGCGCTGTCTGGCGAATCCAGTTGTGAGTGTGGACGTGCGTGCGCGTCTGATTGTGTCTGCGTCAGTCCAGGGCAACATTCTCTATGAGGGTTTCAAGTATGGACTATTCTTATTACAGGCTGAACGGGCTTATAGTATCTAGGCCCTTCGTACTTTCATAGTATCTAGGCCCTTCGCAAGTACGCATGGGCCATGCATGCTAGTTTGGGCAGTCATAGGTACACGCACAGGTGCACTGAAGTGCTGTCACACGCGCAGGGTGTGCTAGTCATTGGTATCGTATAGCTATGTCACCAACACAGCTACGTTCATCACCAAGCTTCAAATCCTGGTTATCTGATGTAAATAATAGGCATCGGTAGTGTCTGAACTATTTATGGTCCTTTGTATATGCGTGCATGAGTGGACCGTACATCAATACAACTAGGTGACAAATGTGAGTGGCCCTTCGACGGAGTGGTCTCGGGTGGTGTGTCATGTGAATTGGACTATGATACCAGGGGTTTTTCTTCACTACCCACCATTCGCCTGTTCTCTTTTTGTATAGTTTTAACACCCCGTCATATCGATACTTGCTGTTCTCTCTACCTACCCACCATTCACCTGTTTGTTTTTTGTATGGGTTTAACACCCTGTCATATCGGTACTTAATTTTCTCTCTACAAACTGGTACTGTATGCCTGCACTATTCAAATGCACAGATACCACCAGCACTCGTACACTCTGGGAGCCCACTACAACAGTCTACTCCAAACGACGTAAAGATAGGTGTATTCCGTAATTTAGTAAAAACCGTATTAAATAAAGCAGCTAGATCTATGTGGTCTGCAGTACGGTACCTTCATCCTCACACGAACTCTTACTAGTCGAAAAGATTTGTCAGCGTAAAGACGTATAAAGGGATGCGACGCAGGATATGCCATCTCGTTCAAACAGACTACTACAGAAGTGCAGAACCCTTTGTATTTTCTGTTGGAAATTGTTTTACTATTCTGGTATACAATTTCCCTCGGCCAGCAAATGTAAATCATATCATGGCCGCCAGAGTCGTATATTTTCTTTATTCTTTAGAGTGGGTCATGGACAGATTTATTTACGGATACTGTTGAGCCATTTATGGAAGTACACTATAGCATGTTCTCTCATACGCTCGTCTGTCTAATGCCGTGCGGTGCTGTGCTATATGAGAAACTACATACTACCATGCACACAATTTAATTGTATGGCTTGAATTCGAATATGACGCCTCGAAAACCTGACAACTCAGCACGCATAACGCAAACGGCTAGTACTTCTGGTTTATTCCACGAATTTGAAGAGCCAATTTACAGAGAACAGTCTTATCAGCTGAAACCTTTATTGTGTGTTCAAGAGTTTTCAAGGTGAACGAGGCACAACTAAGGTGCATGAAGTGATTCATAACAAACTTTTTCAAACTGTAACCCAAGTCAATCCGAAGACTTTTAAGTGTAACGATTTGATAGTTATGTAACAAATCAATTCCACACACACGCACACACACATATATATACATACATATATACATGAATATAAATATATACATATATATATATTAAATGTATAATTTGCACACACACACACACACACACATATATATATATATATACATACATAATTCATTTATGCATGCATACATGCATACATGCAGGCATACATAAAACATACATACATACATACATAACTATATGCACGCATACATGCCTACAAAAAAACATTTTTTTGTCCTGTTCGTCGCTTTACATGTGTCATACATATATACGTCATATACATGCACGCATGTATGTATACATGCAGACGTACACACAAAAATACGAACACCCACACACACACGTGTGTATGTGCACACAAAACGTATACACGTATAGACCACTGTATACTGGGGTTTCTGTAGGCTTCTGGACTCTTGGTTGTTTGAGGGCCCACAAATGGGTCTAATAGCGATACGGACGTTTTTTGGCGACATTCATAGCCTCCTAAAAAAAGAAGCTATGTGATATTTAGATGTGATATTGTCATAAGGGACAAGAAAAGCTTACACTTTCAGTTAAAAATTGTAGCCTGTAGGGCGTAGGTGTGAAATTAGGCTGTAGAGCTGCCTGTGGCCTGCTTTTCTAAAAATAGGCCAATAGGTGAACTCTACTAGAGAGTAAATACATAAATATTTGTATTTGTGTTTTGTTTTGTTTTGTATCTTGTGAAGAAATAACAGGAAAAACCAAAAAAAAAAACGTCAAAAATAAAGTGCCACGCAGCCCACGCGGGCCACGGCGCTACGCTGAGTCGCTGCCACAATTTTGCTCAAAGGCTCACAGACCCCGACACACACAATAAAAGAATAAGACGAGATTGTTTGTATTAAAAAAAAATAAAAAATAGATGGACATCCCACCTCCTGGCACCAGCCCCCGGGGCCCGGGGCCTCGGCCCTCCAGCCTCCAGGAGTCCAGGCACCAGCCACCGCCCACCAGCCTACCAGCCAGGTGTCCAGCGAGTGTCCCACCAGACTTATAGCTGTGACTCCTGTGAGCAACTGAGCATGTGACTTCACTCTAGGAATCTTAGAAATATTTACTTCGAGCGCATGACAGAATTTGTTTTTGAAAAACGACTATTTGTCCACGTGTAGTTTTGTCAAAAATAATAGTAAAGCAATCCAGTTCTACAAACTATATATATATATTTTAAAATAAATAAATAAATACATGGTATAGAGTAACTGTGAGTAAAACCAAGTGGCAAGAAGTGACCAACACCAGTAAGATGCGAGTAGTGAGACCAACGCCCAAACAATACACATCATGTGACATATATGACGATCAATAAAACAAAAAAAACTTCTTGATCGGAAGTATTTTAGTATTGACATAAATATGTCAGACTACCAGAGTACCAGTGCCAGACTGCCAGAGGCTGAGGCCCTGAGGGCCTGAGTAGCTGAGTCCCCGTGACCCCGTGACCCTGACTTTTACTACCTACATAACCCCCTGTACATCACTTTCAGTGTTCGCTGTTGACTCTCGTTGAGGCTTAGCCTCATATCGTTTGGCGTCATGTAAATAAAAGTTGATTTTTAAACGTTTAACAGATTTTTTTTTAGCATTGCAACGTATTCTAGTATATTTTGACCTGTATATTGTGACCTGAATAGTGCACCTATTCTAAAATTTTTGGTCTCATTTTCGATACCAGAATGTGTCGCCAAAACTAAATTATGGTATGTATAATTGTATATGCCCATTGCCTGACCTGGAATATGGCCCTTCTAGTAAAAACTGGACACTAAAATGGAAGTATACGTTTGATTTTAAACGTTTAACAGATCACTTATTTGCGTTGCAAGAGGTTAGTGTTCACTGATGACTGTTAAGGTTCAACCTATTTTAAAAAAAAATTGTTAACTGGTGACAAGTTGACAACTTGTGACTTATGGGTTATGACGAGTTGACGACTTTAAAAACGAATTAAGTTGAAGAGGAGACGACTTTTCAGTTTTTCTCTTTTTGTGGACTTGAACTTGTGTGTGTGTCTGTGTGAGTTGTGTCTTGCGATTTGTGAAGTATTTTTTGTCTTTACATAAAAAAACAAAAAAGTAAATGTCAAAACGCACGCCTAGTAGAGAGAGCCTATAACAAAAAATATAAATTATAAGGGCAAAATGCCAAACAGAAACAGTAAAAAAAATACTATTGCGGCCATCCGGAGTAATTACTCCGAAGTAAGATGATATCGATCAGTTTAATTGAATATGACTGGCTGAACTTGTTGTTTCATCTTTACAACGTACCAAAACAAACACTTTATATAAATTTATTGAGATGAGCAATCCGAAATCCAAATATAGGCAACTCTGTAGATTTTTCACAAAGAATTATCGATTGCAACGATTTTTTTAATATATGTAGGTGCTATTTAATTGGACATCCGCTAAAAAGGTTGTCCGATTTGCACTTCACTGCACAGTTCACAATTCACATTAAGTTTATTAGACTTCAGACAACTTGTTACTGGTTTAAAACATTTATCGGCGGTGTTATATTGCGGCTACTCTTTCAATAGAGTAGAGGGTTATGTATGCTGAGTGCAGAGTGCAGAGTGCAGATTATAGAGTTGCAGACTTCTTGCAGAATGCGGATTGTAACTTACAGCGATCCAAACTTCTTGAGTGTAAGTTGTACTCTTGTTGTACGTCTTGACTCTTGTAGTCTACGAGTCTTCGACTCTACGTAGAGTCGTAGACTCCAATCACTCCATCACTCCTGCTTCTTATTTATTTAAACATTTGGTTTCTGTCCAGCCTTTGGAGAATATGAGTATTGATGTAATACGAATTGGGAATGAGTTGGGACTTGAAACTTGGGAGTTAGGGCTTGGGACCTGGAGTGGGACCTGAAGGCTGAGGGCTGAGGCCTGGCCTTCGGCCTGACGGCCCAGGCCCCTGGGGGGCGGGAATCGGGATGAGGGCGGCTGAATCGCTGAGAGCCTGGACTCCTGGAGGGTCACTGTCTCACTGAGAGTTGAGACTTTTTTAACCCTTTTCGGAAAGTTCGGGGCCTTGAGTGATGACTGATGAGTCTTGAGTCTTGACTCTTTCTCTTGTGGACAAAACAAAAATATTTTATAAAATACTGAATCCTGTACTAAATTTGATGTCGTATAAAATAAAAGAGTATATTTCAAATTATTATGTTTTATATACATAGCGCAACGGATATGTCCTATGTGGACAAAATATTTTATAAACACTGAACCCTATACTATATTCGAATTGTATAATATATAGTATGTTTAAATTATTATGTTTTATATATAGCGCAACGGCTAGAGAGCTCGTCAACACAAACAATTCCTACTATGGAAGTCGCAGACAGCAGTCCAGCACTAATAATATTTCATTTTCATACTGTAATTTGTGTTCTTGTGAGGTTAACTTTTATTTAAAAAAAAAGACCGGCCTGATTGTGAATTGTGATCTGTGAGTTGTGAGTTTGTGAGTTTGTATGTGTTTAGGTGTACGCGTGTGTGACTGTGTGAACTGTGAACAGTGAACAGTGAACAGTGAACAGTGAACAGTGAACAGTGAACAGTGAACAGTGAACAGTGAACAGTGAACAGTGAACAGTGAACAGTGAACAGTGAACAGTGAACAGTGAACAGTGAACAGTGAACAGTGAACAGTGAACAGTGAACAGTGAACAGTGAACAGTGAAGTCTGAAGTCTGAAGTCTGAACTGTGAAGTTGCTTGTGCCATTGTGACTCATGGGTCATGCAAGTTGTGACCAATACATTTTTATTTTATTTCAAGAAATATGACTGAGTCACTGTGAGTCGTGACTCGTGAATCGTGAGTCTTGAGTCTTGATTCTTCACGGAGTCTTGACTCTTCAGAGGTGAGTCTCTGAGAGTCTGATGACTGAGTGACTGAGAGTCTGTCTGAGACTCTGAGACTCTGAGTGTCTGAGTGGCTGAGAGCCTGTTAGAAAGTTTGAGACACGTGAGTGACGCGACTCGCGAGTATGTTCAGCTTTCATTGAGTACTCTCAAAGTGCTTGACTATTTATATATCAGAGTATCGTTTGACACTGATTAATTTGTTTTAAAACAGAAGGTAATGTAATTTTTTTGGGTATGCACGAACCAGCACTGTCCAGCAGTCGCCAGTCCAGCAGTGAGAAGTCAGAGTACTGAGACACAAATAGTGAAAATATACAACAACATACAAAAGTCAAACACATACATTGCACGAGTTCATTGATTCGCATCTCAGCAATTCAAAATGACGAAAGCTTTTACGATTAGAAGTTCTATAATAGCGGCGATTGCTATTTTATGCATGGTAAGCACACAATTGTTTCGTTTAAGTTACCTATATGCTGTCTTAAAAATGGCTTGATGATCAAAATCACTGTTATACTTTTAATAGATTGTAGATCTTATTGAAGTCTGTTTAACACACGTTTGTAGCCAGCCTTACTTACGTCCATAAGCTCATTCCCAATGCGATTCTTTCTTGTAGATATCGCCAGCTATATCTATCGCAGTCCGGGATACAGAGGATGATACCTCGGCGTCAGAAGTTGCCGAGATTGAGACCGATTCCGCCGATCTCGAAATCAATTCTGCAGATGCGACGGACGTTGAAATCGCATCAGACATGGAGACAATGCCAGCGATATTTACTGAGGAACAAGTTGTTCAAGCTCGTGCGGAAGGCATCGATCTTTGCACGTATTTTGGTATGTCTGTCTATCGGTAGTTTTAATTTTCAGTGTAGAAGCGCAACAGCATGTCCTACCATTGACAATCACAAGTATCGTAAGTATTTAGTGAAGAAGTATGTGCATTGCCATATTTTTAATGCAATGAATTCGTAAATCTAAGTGGTCAAATAATGAAGATTCGACATGTAGTGAATGTACAGTTTCGTGGCGTATAGGTTGTACGTTGTTTCACTTCTTCATCAGTACCTTGACAGTATAAGCATTGTACATAGGCTCGGATTTACTGAGAAACAAGCTGACAAATTCACTTTTTTTCTTTTCGCAGGGGGTATCTCGTTTTTCGGACATGAAGACCACAATGAGGTCTGCTGTAGTAAATCCTGTGGCGAGTGCGGTGCCGGAGGGTGTGGTGATAGAGACGGCGGTTATGACAGTTGTTGTATAAGTGGTATTATAATTGCGGAAAAGGTATGCGCCGATGGGCAAGATGCACCATGCGTACTCCCGGGTTTACCTTTATCGCCCTTCTAAATTCCGAGCAAGAGAACTTATTTTGAGCCTATTCCATGGGCAAAGACACAAAGAAATAATTAGTCATCAGTATTTCACTACGTACCTCTATAACATAACAATAAATCGCCGCACGGGCAAGCTGCCACGGCTTCCATCCTTCAATCGTGTCATATCTTCACCCAGTCCATATCTTTCCGTGTGTCAGCAAAGATGAAGTAGGCTTGTATTACCAAGTACTGATTCATACGTTCTAAGACGGCTTTAAAATATAAAACGTATTTACATATTACGTGGATCGACCCACTTCAGTCTGCAGTGCATTCACCTTTTTAGATGCCCCCTTTCTCGCCAACTGAATAGCCTGCAAGACTGGAGTACGATATTCAGTATTTCATTCATCGCACAGCTCTTTTTCAAAATAAAATCAAAAGTCCAGGTATGACCTTATTAGTAGTATGGCTTTCTATCTTTGGAGGCTATGGACGGTTCGATTTTTTTTCCAGCATACTACTCGCACTGGTCATGGGTTAGAATGCCAAGCCGGTTGAATACTCGCACGCCATAGACAGTTCCTGGTCCATGAGTGAACACTATATATCACTATCAAGTTTAATAAACTCTCTCCATGAAAGCAGAATGAATACTCGCACGCCATAGTCAGTTCCCGGTCTATTAGTGAACACTACATATTTCTAAGTTGAAATCCACTACTGTGCCCACACGGCATAGTCCGTTCCCGGTCTATGAGTGAACATTACAAATTTTTTAAAGTTGAAATCCAATTCTGTACTCACACGCCATAGTCAGTTTCTGGTCGATGAGTCGATGGATGTCGATAGGTCATTAGAGTTCAAGGGGTCTGTATATCTGAGGCATCATGAAGCACTTCATTGGCACATATTGCAAATAGCAGGCAACCAAATCTACGGGATGGATTCGACTACCTTGTCCATTGTCAGTAGGCCCTTGTTGAAGTGTTGGAAATACGAAACACGCACCTAACCATAGTGGACATGGTACTTTATTCCTTTTTACTAGCGACGTAGTCTACCGGAACGAAGTCTAAGCCATCGATGCCGGAATCGCTTACTAATTTGGGACGAGATATGATTTTTAAACCGAAATGCAGACTCAACCGCCAGCAGGCTAGTGATATACACAACCACAGACCTACATGCTTGATCCTCCTCTCCAGAGAGCCTATATGATAATATTGATGAAGGACAAGGTAAGCACTCTCAGCGAGGTTTCGTTGTTTACAACAAGTATGCAGTCTACGTTGGACATATACTTCGGACAAATTTCTGAGACACTTTCGAGAAATTGACTTGGCGCTCGCTATATTCCCTCAGTAAGCTGAGCATGTGTCTGGCATCGTGGACCGCAGTATATATGCATGACAAGCAGCGACAGCCCATCAGACACTGGAGCACACAGATATGAGTGAAAAAGTTCTAACTAAACACAACTAAACACAACTAAACACAACTGGAACCATTCGGAAGACTGATGGCCAAAGGGTATCGACATACCGTGAGGATAGAGCAGAGACAAGATGGTCATGACGACTGCTGTGCAGCCGACGATCGGGATCTGCAAAGTACAGGCAATCGATTCTTTGCATGAGAACTTGTTGAATTAGGTGTATAATAATTTAAAAACGCACACAGACAGAGACACAGACACATATATAAAAATATAGATATTCATGCAGACACACAAACACACACACACACACGTGCACACACACACACAC